TCCTAATTCCCATTGACGTACACAAGACAGCATTAAAAGGAAGAAATTACAGAAAAACGGGAGGACAAGCATTAGTGCTTAGGTAATGTCTGCTCAAAGAGTAACATTCTGTTCTACAACATATTTTTAGTCAGAGTAACAACAACAACAAAAGGGAGAGAGATCTGTTGCTATGATGTTTTGGGTAGCCTATTTGCTAGGTCATTGTTAACTGGCCCAAGTCAAAATTTGACTGTATGTCAAGGAATTTAAGTTGATCACTTAAAAAGTAAAAACACACCTCGGTGTGTGTCATGTTTCAAAGTGTAATACTTAAGATTAAGAAATTGTTTGAATAGTAAAAGTAACTGTAATAGTGATTCTTACCTAGCGAGCAGTGTTGCATGTTAAAAGGTCTCTGTGTGATTGAAAGGTGACAGTAGGGGAGAATATATATATAAAGAAAAAGGATGGGGACAAAGAAAACAAGACAAATATGGTGAGACAAAACCCTGTCCTGATCAGTTTTATATTGAAAAGAATACCTTTTCTTGGTTTTCTTTCTTTTTCTTCTTCACAATGGCATCCTTTAGTAGAAAAAAGTTTTGGAAATAAAGTGTAGGAACGTGGAATTCTCATAAAGACCCTAAAGAGGACACCTCAGGGGTCTTGTAATCCGACCTCACAGGGAACATGTATTGATAAAACCAGGCAGGGTGTAAAACAAGCATACTGACCTTTGACCTTTCAGCTTTAAGACTGGCAGTCAAATGACCCTATAATACCACTGTTAATGGCTCTTAACCTTGTTTACGTCACTCAGTGAATGTTTCTAAGGCCGGAAAATATCCATTTGCTCCATGTGTGAAATGGATAATATAAGTTTAGGTATACAATTACATATTACCAGTTTAACGCAGCTAATAATAATCAAGCTACAAACAAAAGGTCTTTTAATGTCTTTTTTTCTGCAAGAATCAGTTAAAAATGATAAATAATCTGAGATGAGCCAAACCTGTATCATACACACATAGACACTGTGCAGAAGAGAGGAGGTGTGGCTTGACCACATACTCCTGCATGGAGCTTTCCAGGACAGAGAAAACTGCTTCATTAAAACTCATATGTATGTAGTTGCATGCATTTGTATATATTCTATGAACTATTAAACAGTAAACACAGCGGCCCTCTTGGGGAGCCTGTATGTTTAAATGAGAGACTTTCCATTTGCCGGATCGCAGACACGTTGTGTCCAAAGTGTTTGTCTCAATGACGGGTTGAGAAAAAGAGAAAAATTGATGGTGAGAGAGATCGGGGGGCTGTAAGTGCAAACATACATGTGTCCATATGTACAAGTGTGGGTGTGAGTGTATAGAGGTCCGTCTGGCTCCCATGGTCCTGTCTTCGACTCTTACTCTCTTGCACAGTCGCCACCTCCCCATTTCTCTCTCTCCTCCCTCTGTTCTGTCTCTCTCTCTCCTTCTCCTCTCCACTGACTCAAGCGCCACCTCACTTCGGCTGCAGTAATAGCAGAGTCACTCAGCTTTAGATTGTAGTGGCCACTTGATCAGGGTCCCTTTAATCTCAAGGGCGCATTTTTTTAAATGAAGTGAGCAGATTATGTGTGGGGAGCCATTTTATATCATGTTACAGTTTTCTTTTGCTCTTCAAGTGATTAGATTACTTTAATAAACATAAAGCGATGAATAAAATTTACAGTCGAGTTTTATCCAGCGGTTAAAGTATAAATGCACACTTGTGATAGTTTACTTGTTACTTCAATCAAAACATTGATCTGATTGTAACGTTTAGTCATTTAGCAGACATTTTATCTAAAGCGACTTAAATAATGAGGACAAACCCAAGATTTGTATCATACAAGAGTCAACAATATTAGCAGTACTCCAAATAATGTTGGATGCACCACAGAAGAACAGAAAGATCGGTCAAACTACGTTTTTATTTTTATTTTATTATTCATACATGCAAGACTCCCTATAGTTCCATGTCATTCCACATCTAACAGGTTCTCCTGACCAGTATTGACCTGATTTTCTGTTTATTGACCTGGACAGACGTTTTGTCTCTATCCATTTATTCCTTTTCCTTTTCCTTTTCCAGGGTGGGGTTTCATTTCCTGGCTTTGTGTTTGCAGACATTCTAAGTTCAGGCCCTCTGTTCATTAAACGCCACCGGCTAGACTAAAACCTACTGGAATCACAGATGTTAGCATTAGCATTAAAAGGGCAGGCAGGCTTTTGTAGTTATTGTGATCCTCATTATATTCAGAATTTCCTTTACTTTTAAATTTACTGTGCTGAACTGTTTACTTCAAGCAACTGAATTTTCAGGCAATGTAACAGTCATCGGGTTCACAAGCTTTGAAGATGTCTGGAATCTGAGGCCAGATTCTAATAATGTTTGTTCCTGAACATGCCCTATCTTAGCTCACATTTATGCAAGGACTGCCACAGTCGCACACTGTAATTCATTCAACCATTCAAAGCGTTAACTGGAAATATGGAGAAAGAGTGTTAACTAAAGAAATATTTGTGAATTTTAAATGTTCCTGAAAAAAAAACGTGTAGGGGAAAGTGGGGTGCGAAGTAACAGCGGTAAATTGTGCCACCTTGGTTTACTAAATTGACCATAAATAGTGCATAAATTATTATCACTGCCTGTGATTGACAGATACACATGTGAAAAGTATAAAAGCCTTTTTTACAAGGCGGGTAAAATTGATTATTGTTGCTTTATTTCCAATGGGATTTTAGAATGGGATTAATTACTCAATTTTTTTTTATGTTGATAAATGTATTTTACATATATATTGTAGATATTACATAATAATTCAGCTTACCACTTTGGTAAATTGTGTCACTATAGAAGTCATATTTCTATAGCCTTTACTTATAGCTGATTCTTTATCATTTTAGTTAATAGAAGACATCCTGACAAATAATTAGGAGAATCTGCTTTCTCATTTTTCCTTGCTTAGTGGACAACTTAAGTAAAATGTGTCACAGCTTACCCACCCTCCTATTTGTAAATAGTAAAAAGAAAAGAAGAAAAAAGTGCACATTGGGCTGGTTATAGTAAGATCAATTGAACATGTAAAAAGAAAAACAGTAAAATTTAAAAGTTTATCAAAAAGATAAATTATATGGGGTCAGGGTCCTGCTGGACTATAGGGAGGTTCTGGAAGAGTCCTTCACCTTCCTAAAATCCTTCTTTTTTTCTGTCTTCCTTCTTTCCCTCTCTCCCTCTCTCTCTCTCTTTCTCCAGCTGTCTCCAAGTGCCACGTAGCTTTCCTGCATTATTAGACAGATGGAATTCACCAACCCTACACATGAAGCTGCTATTTGCTTTCTTTCCATCTCATTTCTCTCTCACTTTGTCACCCCCTTCCCCCTCTTCACCCTCTTTGTATTCCCTGACTCATTCTCCACTTACACACACTCATATGGTTTGCTTAAAAAGTCTCACTTAATTGAAAGTAAAGACCTCAAGACTTTGGCAGCGCCGTGTCAAAAAGCCTAGTCATATCTTTGACCAGGCACATAATATCTGTTTTAACAGGTCAGGTTAAATTAATGTCCACAAATATTCAAGATTTTGGGGGCAAATGTAAAATTTTAAAGAACAGTCATTAACAACCCATATTGATCTACAGCTGATATGAATATTGGGGGGAGCAGAGCCGTATACAATCTGCAAACAGATATAAAATGTTTTAATAGAACATATGAATAGAACTGCAATTCATTTTAGAATAGCCAGGAGAAGAAAAAAAAAAAGAATGGTTCAAAGTTTTGTATTGTGCAGCATTTTTTTAAATGTACTCTTCCGCCACCTATTGGTGAATACAACCAAGTACAGTTGTCTCTCACAATGTATTGTCCTTAATTCTGGACTCATCCTGTGTGCATAAACTGGAGTAAGAGGACACTCAAAAACTTTCAACCAAACATGTTTGTTTGCAGTGGATTTCTTTCCTAAACACACACATGCATATTGGATGCATTGGCGTAGATGGACTGTGTAAGTCCCACGTGAGAGAAAGAAAGAAACAGCCAAGTTAACCTTTGCCAAATTCTGAATAATGTGCTTTTCTTCAATTCAAATCTGGAAAGAATAACCACAGCCAAGCAGCAAACCCTGCCAAGCATTTACCAAGAAAAATAAAACAAGCAATTTTCAGAAAAACGTTTTTATTTTACTAGGGATAATGCGAAACATGCTGACAATATTTTATCTACCTTTCATGATGAATTTCCTGTTTGAAACCAATAAAAGCATGAATTTTCAATAGTTTATCTTTGCAGCATGCCCTTGAGCTATGAAAGGTCATGAAGAACCACTTTGGCAAATCAGTGCTGATATAACATTGGCAAGAGAGAGATAAATAAAGTAGACTGCCAAGTTAGAAAATGGGTGTTTTATTTTAATAGGAAATACACTTTATGAAATGCACTTATGAAACATCAATATCATCTTAAAAGAACTGTCTTGAGGTTTGCAAAACAGCCTTGTTGTCTCTGGTGTTCAATAACTAGTCACATTTCAGTGGTGTAACAGTTGCAAACATCAATGCATCTTATGGAAGTCAAGTCCCCCAAGACACAGACATTAAAATTCAGTTATTTTGGGGATTTTATTTGATAAAATCAGTGGCCCAACAACAGGAAGGTATAAGGAAATGGACATCAGGAATGGATGGTGACCCAGGCTGGACTCAAAACCGTGTCCCCATGAGCACTACGGCTCTTTATATGTAGAAAGCAACACACTACACAATTCTATTTTGTAAGGTCAGTGCCTGGATATAATTTGTGCCCTATATGACGTTTACAATCTATATCACTAACTGCAAGTTTCAGACTCTTCATCCTTATCAAAAAACATTTTTTTCCATCATGGTACCAGATGCCGCTTGGCTCTGTTAAAGGATTTCAGTCCAGACAAGAAAGAAAAACCAAGCTAAAACGAGCAAATTCCACTTGATGACCATTTCCAGGGCTTCCCAATCAGTTTAGTTTAGTAAAACTGAACCACCTGAAAGCCTCGGAGGCATCGGAATGCCAATGTGTCCAGGTGGCCCAGATCTATCATGTTATATTCCAGGTGCACCTTGACCAGGCGGCTAAGGGGAGACTCGTTGCCTCGACCCCAACAGAAAGCATCACGTGGAATTGCATGGATCTTGTTGTTCGCAAATGTTGCAGAGTGCAGCCACAATGGGAGCTGCCGTGGAACCTGTTGTAAGGCGTTGTGACTCATGTCTAGCTGATGCAGAAGTGGAAGAACTCGGAAGGCACCAAGGGCCACCTTGGTGATCTTGTTTCTTGCTAGTCCTAGGTGCTCCAACTGAGGCAATGAAATAAAAGCATCCTTAGTTATGCTAGATATTAAGTTTCCTTCCAAGTTGAGGGTCTTTATGGTCCAGGGTAGATTGTGAGGAACCTGCTTCAAAGAATTGCCCTCTAAATTTAAACTCTCAAGGTTACTGGCATTCAGTAGTGCTGCTTTCCCAAGTCCTTTATTGGTCAATCTATTTGCACTTAGATCCAGCACCTGCAGCTCCGCCACACCCCAGAACATGTCGCCTTGAAGACTTTGAATGCGGTTGCCTCTGAGATAGAGTTCTTGAAGACTGAGGGGCAGCTGCAGCGGAACAGAGGAAAGCTGGTTGTAGGAAAGTGTAAGTGTTCGAAGTTTGCCCAAAGGAAGAAGAACTCCCGGAGGGATAGTAGACGATTTGTTCCCCAGGCTGTTGTTGCTCAGGCTGAGGATCAGAAGGCCTGGGCAGCGTCCGAAGGCTGCATCAGACATCACACTTATCTGGTTCCCATCCAGCCGTAGTTCCTCGAGAGTAACTGGCAGGTCGGTGGGAATGCTTTGGAGAAGGTTCCGCTCCACGTATAGTCTCTTTAGGCTCTGGGTCCCTTCAAAGGAACCCTCAATCGACGCATCTCTTAAACGATTGTTGCTTAACACCAGGAACTCCATGGAGTCGTACTCGGAGAGCAAGTTCAACTGAATGCTATCGATGTGGTTGTTCATTAAGAGGATGTAACGGGAGTTAAATGGAATTCCATAAGGTATTTTGCCCAAATCTTTGTCGGAACACTGCACAACCCTGGAAAACAAGAGGTCATATAACATGTCAAATTAAAGCATAGAAATTGAAGCAGTACTCAGTAGCATAAGGAAAATTCTTAAAGCAACACCAAGTAACTTTTCCTCTGCGGGTCGCCCTACGGGTTGGAAGCGGAATTGTCCATTACCGCTGTCGTAAATAATTTAGCCTACCGCAGCCTACTGTCGCACGCACGCTCGTTGTTTATCCAGCACCGGCTTTGGAATGAACGATGTCCACAGACAAGGTAGAGTATGTTGCATGATTTCATGAAAGTATGATGTATTGCGACATCAGAAACGAAGAAAAACAAAATGACTATTGTAACGCTTGACGTAAAGCAAGTCAAATTTGTAGTTTTCTTATGTCTCATTAGAACTACAGAAACTCGACCCGATCTGGCAATCTTACATAGCGTGGTTATAGCAGATATAGGACCGCAAAGCGGAGGCATAAGTGCCTTTCACCCTATTACGACTTGATGAACCACTGAAACGATTTTGGAAAAATTATTTTAAGGTAAAAAATCTTACTCAGTGTTTCTTTAAGCATGTTGTTTTAAGACCTAGCAGAAACATACCTCCCATAGCAGGAACATTCTGAGGGACAGTAGTGATCTTCAAAATAGGGAAAATACGAAGGTGTTGTTGGCTTCAATTTCCGCTCTCGTTTTAACTTTTTTGCTTTTTTTGCTTTTTTCAAAACTTTGGGTGTTGTCTTCACCTTTCCTTTGATTGACTTTTTTTTCTTCGCTTTTAGTGTTGTATTGTCTTTAAGTTTGGCACCTGCTGCTTTTTTGGGGAGTTTTGCCAAAAAAGTACTCGGAGGGGCCTTTGATGGAAGTAGAGTAACTGATTCTTTAAGCAAGTGCAGGACAGGTTGGAAGGCAGTGGCCATGGCAGGAGGAGTGGTATATTGATTGACTGTTGGAGATAGATGTTCCTCACCCTCCACTTCTTGTAAATAGGTGGTATTCCATGCAGTGAGGACGGGTTTGGCTAAGAATGCATCCGACAGATTTTGTCCTTGCTGATCCTCTTTTTCTTTGACTTCCTTCTTTATTACATCACTTTCTGTGTGCCCTTTTGTATGTTTCTCGCTTTCTGTTTTCTTTATATCATGCTCTTCAGTTCTCTTACTGTGAACTGTGTCTGTTTCTTCATCCACCCCTTGGACTGTGGCTTTTTCTTCACTTCTTTTCTCCTTTCCAGTGTTGAGAGCCTCCATCAACTGATCAAGTCTCTGCTCGGCCCAAAGATCACCTTCTACAGATACATTCCGCAGGACTGTCACATTTACACCTATAAGAGTGAATACACCTTTGTGAACTTTACAAACAATTTACTCCTCACAAATAAATGATTAAGTTGCTTTTAGGACATTTAAATACATAATACATTTTACTATATACATTTAAAATAGAAAGATCATTTGGGCAATCTACATTACATGATTAAATAACTGCACTGAGAGTCATTATGTAGGGATGTTACTGACAAACTACAAAAAAAATTTCATAATACAAATAAAAGTACATATATGAATTGAACATAATTGCATGTTTATTAGTCCAAATGCATGTCAGAATTCTGTACTTAACCTTAAAACACAGACCTAACAAAATATTAAGTAAAAGTAATAATTTAATAATGAGTAAATAATAATTTAAATGAGTTAAATAGTGAATGAACACTTACTCGGCTGAAGCACAAAAGTGTGTACAGGCACAGCAAAAATCCAAAACAGCAGCATTGGAGGCTTCATTTTTGGCTAAAAATGGCTAAGGAGAAGAAAACAATTTTCTAATTACCATGTGAAAAATTGATCGTTAAATTTATTTGTCTGCCGTAAAGGTCTGTGGCGATTAACCAAGCACTTGGAGACTGAAATAAAAACGTTACACACATGAAATGGCTGACAACCAAAATAAAGGTGCCATGAAGCATCTGAATGGCTTCCATTTACAAGCAGTAACTGATCGTGAGCAATAAATCCAGATCTTGAAGATTTTTTTAATGAGATCTGCCCGGCAGGCACAGCTTACCTGGAGTGTGTTCAAGGTGAGTATGTGGTGTCCTTCAGATGTATAAGTCCTTGTTTTCTGCAGATATGGAAGACATGCTGGCTTCCTGTGTTGCACAGACTGTCTTTACACCACCGAGAGTGACTCAGTACACACATACACAAACAAATAGATGCGCATACGGACTAATGGACGCATTTAAAGACTCTCCTTCTCCCTAATGCAATTCCACATACACACTCAGGAAAATGAAACACTCTTAAGTAAAAGCTCTCTTCAAAGACACTTTTCATTACGGGAATTTTCTCACTCACACACTAAATCCAGAAAAATCTAACGGATCATTTAAGGGGAACGGAGATAGACTTACGTTAGAGAGGTCAAAGGTCAGGATTTTAAGGATTCACACTATTTGCCTTACTTTCACAGACACCAGTGCCGACCTACTGGCACCACAATGACAAGTGTTTCCCTAAAAGGTCTGTGACATTTGACCTTTCAAAAGGTTCATAATTAGCTGGGTGAGGTGAGACAAAACTTTTGGAAGAAGAAAGTAAAGCTATTTTTCTAAAGGGCATAACCAAATATTTAAGACCGAGAATTAAAATGTAAAAGTTTCATAATCTGTCATTGTAAAAACCATTTTTGTTTAACCACTATTCTAAAATTGTAATAGATACAAAATATCAAACCAAGAGACAAGTGCAAACAAATGGTGCAAAACCTTTTGTCAGAAATTCCTCCACTTTTCTGGGGCATTTTTGCGAACCACTACCTAACTCTGAATTTGTCCCAGTGGAGCTTTATCAGACACAGATTTATCCAGAGTGTGAGAAGATAAAAATACGATTAAAAAAAAGATGTTTGCTGCCACCACCAAGCAGCAGGAGAGAAGCGTGTCAGCTGGCAGGCAAATATAGAGACAACATGAATAAAATTATCTGAACAATATTATTAATTCTATGAATTCATCAAATGTATCTGTAAAACACGTTTCACAATGAATGTTGACTAATTTCTCAATAATTTTTCTGACATTTTCCATGGGCCCCCTAGCACCCCCTTGAGGCCCCCTGGACTAACAGTTTCAAACCGTTAAGACAAGTATAAACCATTAAGACAAGTATTTCTATGTAACTTAATAAGTGGACAACAATGTAGCCCCTCACAGGCTGACACAGCGGGTCTTGCACTCAAGTTTTTTAAGGATGTTTAAGCTACCACACCTGAAAAACACATCTAAAATACTTCATTATATAGACTAAAATACAGCAAAGGGTGAAGTTTATATATATTAAAATACAAATAAAAAAGATGTTATAAAATCATGAATAATAATTTTATATACATAAAAAATAGGAAGCATTTACAAAAATAGGCATTAAAAAAACGGATTTAGTTCTTACAATAAACCACAAGGGGATGGTAGAGGACCGTTTAACTTTTCAAACGCTCACCCAGACTGACCACTCCGTTACATAAGAATTCAGGTCAGAATTGTATATAGAACCGGATCGTTTATCCAACAAACTTTTCCAGCTACCTGTTTATGAAGTTCTACTGTCATCAACACACATATAAAACAGTAGGACACTGAGAAATGTTTCAATACTATCATACTGACGCAGGGGCCCTGAGGTCTAGATGGACAGAATGAGGGAACCACAAAGACTCGGGAAAAGAAAGGACAGTGTTAGTCTCACTATCTGCTGGGATGAGGAAAGAACCTGGGGCAGTTTGTTCAGGACAAACCACCTGTATGGGAAAAGTGACAATCAACTGTTTGGAAAATGGCAACAGGGAGGGAGTAAAGGGTGTCATCTCACATGCAATCTTAAAAAGAGCTTATATTTGAGCTGAATATTGATATAATATATCTGAACGCTGCATTTGCAGGCCTAATACCAGTATTGCTACTCATTTAAGATGGTGTCAGTGGTAAACACTTCACATGTGTTGAAAGACAGCAATGACACACCTAGACTCAACACTAAAGCTTTTGTTAACTCTCCTGTGTGCACAATGCTGTAATGACGCACACCTGGTCAGGAGACAGCTGATCAGACAGCTGTCCAATTACATTTGCTCAAAGGACTGTAATTTCAACACGGCTTGTTGTTTATGAATGCAAATATCCTAAAATTAAAGTTGACAGTCTGTATTTTGCCCGAACAGTGATGAAGTCAAAGACAGCTAATAGAAACCTCATGGTTGATTGTCCAAATCGACAGTTTAGATCTGAAACAAAAGCAAATGTTTTAGCTTTGAAAAGGACTAATTGACTGCACTTTGTGTGAGTTTGAGTGTGAGTGTGTGCAGGCTACATAAACACTTATTCATCAATCCACTCAATAACCAATCCACCGCCGCAATGAAGTTTCCACAACAATTCGCTATTAAATGTGTACACTGAAGGTTAAAAAGATTATTTAGACTCATATGTGAATTCATTAAAGCCCAAAGTATTCTTCAGTTGACGCAAACGTTTAGCATACATACAGCAAAACGCCTAAACCCAAAATATACTTCAGTTTTGACGCAAACGTTTAGCGTATACGTAGCCTACAGTAAAACGCATAAGCCCAAAGTATACTTAAGTTTTGATGCAAACAAACACATGCGCACAAGAAAGTTTCATCTTTGTCTGGTGTCTGCTATTTCTGTACAGAAGTTATGACCGATAAAAACGTACTTGTTTAAACTAGAATTGCCCACCGGTTCTGAGTGATAGGCTAAGGAGAACACAGCGGACAATCAATATCTTCCATACTTTACTGGGATTTTATAGTAAGCCTATTGCTCCAACAACAATTCTCAAGAGTCAGGTGACTGGTGAAAATGTACGTGACTACACCATGTTTCTGAATATGCTTGGCTCTTTTCTATTATTGTATTATCATTTGATGATACACCACTGCCACGTTCAATAAAAATATACACAAAATCTCTTTTAATGACATCTCTGTATGCGGTAATAGCACGTTAATTGCTTTAGGTAAATAAAACAGAATTTTGTGATTAAATATAATACTATAACACTAAACTTTGATAGACATTTGAAAGAAAACAAGTTTGCGCATTGAACATGACAATGACATATTTACCCAAAAGTAACACATTTTTGCTGCATTCAAATCTGGTAAGTAAATAAGATGTGATAAATAAGAATGCTTATACAAAAGTAACACACCTGTTTATTGAACATAAAGTGATAAACAGACAATGTTTGAAGTCAAAAAGCCCATTAAATTCCCATGATTCCCATTTCGGATCCCGTCCACCGTGGGTGGTTCAAACTTTGACCTGATGCTGAGGAACACCTGGGTCTCTCACAGAGTAATTTACCCACCAAGAAAGCGCTTTCTGGTTTTGCGTAGAACCTGACTGGAATGTGGTATTATTTTCAATAGAAATGGTCAAGTTTCTGCCGAAACTAGTGATGCTTCTATTGAAAACAGAAGGGGAAACAGAGGAAGAAGAGCCAGAGTGAGAACACAATGACATTGACTGAGATAGGATATCCCCTCCCCTCAACCAAAGACCCATCTGCCATTTTCTCTGTCTGCTGGGGGTTTAAAAGGTCATAGGTCGCAGACAGTGATCAATTTGTTTGTGTCACGGTCATACAGTACAGAGCAAATGAACTCTATGCTTGCCTTATCTTTATACGCATATAAAACCTTATCAACCGTCTGTCTCTCTGATGTCACTAACTACAGGACAATCTGTCTGCCGCCCATGTCTCTAACAGAAAAGCCTGTGTACATGTTTAAACACAGCTCACCGCTAATTCTGGCTCGGTCTCACAACCTAGAGCCGATCACCAGAAGGTTTCTAAAGTAGAAGTTGAGCAACCGATCTTGAGAAGCACTTCACTTTAGTCCTGGATGACCGGAAACTGACCGCACGCTGCCAGTCACACATGCACAAACATAGACTTTCAGGCACTTCCCTCGTCTAGAACATCCAAATATTTTCACGGATCCATCCTTCTTTCATGAGATCTTTGAGGCCTGAAGCGGGGCCCCGGCAGGCCCCTGCTCTGTTGTCTTAACCCTGCCTAGAATATCCCAGCGTATTACTGCCCTCATGTTTTCATTGGACATGTGGGTCGGTCAATGTGTAGAGAGGAGCTCAAAGTCTTTGGAAAGCACTGAGAGCAATAAAAAAAAGCGAGGAGATGTGTTGAAAGAAAAAATGAGATACATGTGTCATGTTGTTGACGAATGGGAAATTTATAACTCAACCCCTAACATTAGGGTCAGAGAACATTATATTTTCAAAATACTATATACAGGTATCTATAAACCTTTTGGGAATAGCAACTTGTTAAGAATATAACCAAATTTAGAGAAATGTATGTTTAAAACAAGAAATATATATGGTCTAAATGACCTCAAATCAAATCTGACAACCATTAAGGTCAGAGTTGATTGAGTTTGTCTTGATGACGGGAAGTTGCATTCCTGACTCCACTTTAACATGTAAGAATGAGACTGATGTAAAAGACAGAACAATCTATATAATGGAGCTCTCTATCTGTGAGGATTATTAAACGCATGCACACAGACAGACACATACAGGCATTGTATTGATTTGTGCACATATGTAGGACGCTAGAGACTAAGACACAGCTGGTGATATTCTGATGATAATGCAAAATACAAAGATAGAGAGAGGGAGACAGATTTCCAGAGTGCTGTTTAAAAGCCTGCCAAGTTAGACTGTGATTTTAAAATTGGCTGTAACCTACTGTATG